TAAGGGTAGGGGTAGGGGTAGGGTTTGGGGTAGGGGTAAGGGTAGGGGTAGGGGTAGGGTTTGGGGTAGGGGTAAGGGTAGGGGTAGGGGTAGGGTTTGGGGTAGGGGTAAGGGTAGGGATAGGGGTAGGGTTTGGGGTAGGGGTAAGGGTAGGGATAGGGTTTGGGGTAGGGGTAGATTTTGGGCTACGGGTAGGGGAAGGGTTTGGGGTAGGGGTAGGGTTTGGGGTACGGGTAGGGGTGGGGGTAGGATTTAGGGTAGAGTCAGGTTTAGGGTTTGGGTAAGGGTTAAGGTTAGGGTTAGGGTTAGGTCTCTTCTTTATTGTGTTTGTGTTAGGGTGGTCTCCCGTTACTGAAGTCCTTCCCATTGAAGATTCCTTGGGACTAAGCTGTTCCCCTTTTAACCCTAACTGTACGCCCTGTGGTTATTTTGTACCCCTGGGGTCGTATTCTTCTCATCTTACAATACTTTTAGTACGTAGATCTCTTTTAAAATTTCTCAAAAAATCACTTTGTCACACTGCTATGCAAAACGTACGGATCGAATCAACGAGTAAATTTCCTCTTTGGAAAGTGGTGGCACAGAGTTCCCCCCGTCGTATGGATACGATAGTAAAACACGACGTACGGATAGGGTTAGGTGGTGGCACAGATTTCCCCACGTTGCATAGATACGATAGTAAAACACGACATACGGATAGGGTTAAAGGGCGCACAATGCGCTGTACTCGAGGTGTGGCCAACAAACAGGGCAAGCTGTGGACAGACAACTTAAAAGTACGGCCTGGGCTAAATGGTCGCTTTTAAGCACAAGGGGGCTATCCCGAAAAATGCTGTTTCGAGAAAATCAATGGTAAAGTTTTTGGACCCTTATTCAGTTTCTTTAAAAGACAAGGAGAGTTTTGCTATAACTAAACAAATATACACACCAACGAAACCAAACTTCTCCTCCTATAGGTAGGGCAACGCTCACTTTTGGTGTAAGTCAAGATTTCTAGAAACCTCCGAAATCTGGGTTAGCCCGCTTGCCCTTAAGGGCACCGAGAAATCATGTTTTAAGGTCAAATTATGCAAATTGGTGTTATTACATATTATAGTACCTGAACATTTCCTGACCAATATCCAGACACATATGTAAGTCTTACTACACCCTAAAGCTGGGGTTTTCTTTCAGGTATTTCTGTGAAAGCACATGTTTTCCAGCCTTTTCTAGCCTTTTTCGGCTGTTTTCTCACAATTCTATTTTTCACACATTATCTCATTTTTCTGCTTTGTTTCTTGTTCAATTTCAAGGAAACTTTCACAGGACACCAACAATACCTAGTTCTAAATTTTAGCTCCATTTCTTGACCTTTTTTGCAACAACCCAATAGTGTCATAAAATAAAAAACTAAAGCATATATATCGAAAATTCAATATGCCAAATTTAAGAGCTAGATCTACATATTTACTGTTGGCATGCCAAATTAGAAGTGAATCAGTTAATAAATAAGGGCATAATATGGGATTTAAAAAGGTTTACAAAATCCAATATGGCCGCCGTTTCCATAGCAACCGAATCACAATACACTTTTTGAACTATTGATTTCGAATCCCCAATAACACACGATGTCCCACAGCAAATATGGGCACTCTAGGCCAAAATAGACCTCAGGTGCCCCACCAGTCCTTAAAAGCGCCCAAATGTGCTGCATTATGTTGAAACCAGACGCTAATCAATATAATGAAATCGAAGAAAACGCCATTTGCGTGTTGGGCAATTGTATCGATTTTTGTAACTTTAATTTTGTAATTGTTTAATTTTTTGCGGGGGGGGAGGGGGGGGCTCAACCATTTTTTAATTATCTAAAATACACATTTCTGCATCCATTTTACTGAAAATCTTTCATCACGGCAACACAAATTGTAAATTTGCACTTCCAAGGACATTCAAGCTTAGGAAGTCACCAAATTTGGGCGGCCTTTTTCTTGATAAGGTTACCTTTGACACCAGGCGGCCCCCACCTCCTTCAATCGTAAATGTCTCGACTTCAGTTCAAGATTGTTGGACGGTAAATTATTTTCATCAAAAGCAAGAGAAATAAACAGGCTTTAAGTTTATATCAATACCTCTAGTAGCCCAAAAATTGACGAGCGCCTGATTTCATCACAATGCTACACTTTCTATTATAACAATTATGGCAAAATACACGAGACCAGCGGTCCTAAAATGTCAACGTTTTTGAATGGCAAATCTAACAACAATAATTTACCAACAGTTGAACAGAAATACAGTAAAAGTTAAGAGTCAACAAACGTTCAAGACTGGTACCCTCACGACTTTCAGTTTGTGACTACGGTCGTTTTTCCTCTGCAGTCTTCACGTGTGAGGCGTGCTAACAAAATGAGTTACTTCTCATATTTTATTTTTAGCCCTGTAGAAATAGATGTTGAATTCATGGGCTGAGTTTTTACAATTTATTAGTTGGAAATAATGTTTTTTAAACATGGTGAACTTGAAGAAAATGACATCAGTTGAGAATGAGAGTCTACAAATGTAGTCCGTTCTTGATTTTCTGCCGATATCTCCATTTGTCTGTCCGCGTGGTTTTATGCGCCCCGCATAATTTAGCAAAATTTGATAGTTGGGTTTTTTTTCATAATTCCTTATTATTTTTCCTTTATCAATCTTTGTTAAAATTAACAGAATCGCATAATTTCACATTTTTGGGCTCAGTTTGCATAATTTCAAAATGTTTTTTGCATAAAACCACGGGGACATATTTGTGGAGTGCGAGAAGTAACTCATTTTGTCAGCACGTCCCACGCTTGTATCAGGTATTAAGTTTAGTGGTTAGGCTACCGGACTCGTAATCCTGAGGTACCGGGGTCGGGGGTTCAAGCCGCGGGCCCGACGTTGTGGCCTTGGGAAAGGCACTTTAGACGAATTTTCCTCACTTCACCCAGGTGGGAATGGGTACCCGGCCTTAGACAGCGAAAGATCTTGTCAGTATGTCAGTCTTTTAGCGCCTATAAATGGCTGCTTGCACTGTATGCTTCCCAGGAAGTTGAGTTTGTTTCAGAATGCTCTCAGGTCTTCTTAAGTAATAATATCGGTTGTGAAGCGCGTAGAGCTTGCTGTTGAGCTGGGAATTGCGCTATACAAATGCTATCTATTATTATTATTATTTA